TCCATAGTTCAAGCTTCATTTGGGATCAGGTGGTGTTGTGCGAATAAGGTTATTATTATAATATTATACGACGTTCAGAAAATTATTCACATTTCCATAGCTAATTATAATTATTACGCAGTATGTACAGTACATTTATTATGGCTACACAGTAATATATCCATTAAGTTTTATGGTAGCAAACTAATCGTAACCAACCAACTCCTAAATCAGTACAAACCACACACTTAATTTCCATTTCATCTAGGGTTGGCATATACATAGAAATGTAATTCTACTCCATTAATGTTTAAAGTTAAGGTTATATCTATTATACTCTGAAAGGATGCTGTTTATGGGGATTGCTGACTGCAGAAACAATCACGCTCGCTATAAAGTTCAAACTTGTAGCGGCATGGTGGACCAGGTAAATGTGCTCGCTCTAATATAGTTGAGTGCAATGATGACTAGTTCATTCGTCATACTCGTGAACGTGCTGCTTGTGAGGATTGGTCTGTTCGGGCTACGAACAGTGATTAGACTATTTGCTTTTGCAATAGCATAAGCTAGCGGTCACTCTATTTTCCCAAATTTGAATTTAAAAATTAATATGTATTATTGTAAACATGTACAATATTTATTTGAAAAGATTACGAGCCGAGTTTCTTCTCAGTTCTTTTCATCTCGAAATCATTCCGAACTGACGGTAGATTTGACATATCAGAGCACCTACATGAATAAAGATAGGTATTTTGAATTTGTTTGAATTTTTGCTCTCTTAACAGGGAAGTATTTTTTTTGAATGAGCGGTAGAATAAAAATATTACTAAAATATCCGCCAGGTTATTATAGCCGTAGGTGGAGGTGAATTGTCCAAGTGGCCAAAACTGGAAATAAAGTACAAACCTCAGAATATCTATTTAGCGCCAGCACTAAATTCACAACACCGACGCTATAGCCGCGTCAGATAAGTTTGTGGAACCGTAACTTTATTTGAATGTGGTTTATTTCTATTTTAAATATGTGGTAACCTTAGTTATACCTGATTTGCCACAACATTGGCGGTAACATACGGCTTTCATTATTATGTACCCATAGGCTTGGTTATTATTGTTTAGCCCCAGATGTTTCCTGTTTTATGTCTCAGATAGTCAAGCTTATATATTAAGTATTTACGTTTTCACATAATGCTTTCTCATAAAACCTGTTTTTATGCACCAAATCAGCCGTACTATATTTCTACATTAAACTTTGTGTTGCCATTAAAATGAAAAAAAACAAAATTGTGTCACGAAGATAGCAGTTTGCATTATACAGTAAAAGAAAATAGGTACATCTATATGTACATACCTATATATATGAAATGTATATACAATCCACTAGCCGACCCGCGCATCTTCATCTGTATAGCAATTACTTGACATTTATCATTATAATTCGTCTAATTTACACAATATCTTTTTAGATTATAGCCTATATGTTAGTCCGAAGTATAAGCTATATTACTGTAAAGTTTCATCAAAATCCGTTTAGTAGTTTATGCGTGAAAGAATAACAAACATCCATCCATCCATATTCACTTTCGCGTTTATAATATTATATATATAAACATTTTTTTAGAACCATTTTAGTACTTTATAAGCATCAGTATAAAAAATTTGCTTCCGCAATCATTACCTATCTAGAAATCCAAATCTAGCAGATATTCGGTGACCTAGCGGTTTAGCGCACCGCTTTACTTCCGATGATCGCGGATTCGATTCCTCGCAAGGTGTAAACATTTGCATTCATGAGTATGATTGTTTGTATTGGTCTGAATATTTTCTATGTATATTATGTATGTATTTACAAAAAAAGTATCTAAGTATTTATATCAGTTATTTAGTACCATTAACACAAGCTTTGCTAACCGTAGAACTAGATGGCGTTGTGTTAATTGTCTAGGGTTCTCTGTTTATATAAATAATAATAAATATAATTTATATATTTTAACAGAGGTAGACTGTAATAAAACTACATGGTTATATAACCCGTGAAACACACGCACTTACATGATAACGTGATGTCCATGGTCCGTGTTCGTGTATTTAATTAAACAAATATAATACTACAACCGATTACAATCAATTCGTTTGTAATTCTTATTAAAAAAAATAACATTAATTTCTCCTCATATTAATTTTTGTTTCACATATCAATTACGCATCTACATAATTCTTATGTAGAAGCTCTTTCGATTTTAAGTCACTTGAAGAGAAAGGGAAAGATAAAGAACATTTAAGAGAGTATAAAAGAAATCCTCAACAGAACCACTACAATGGACCAATTCAATAACGCCTTTAGTGTACACGAACTGGGTCAAAGTTCCATTCCATTGCAGGCTTTTATACTTCAGATATTAGGTTTGAGCTTTGTGTGCAAGGAATATAAATAACATCTAGTGTACACCAGTTACATATCAATGTAACTAATAATACTCGAGTCGCACCTCGAGTTTCTTTCGTTTGTGAACTATCACTATCAGTATCAGATTTTTCTCCAATATCGATGTGAACACTAGTTCACATCGATATTGGAGAAAAATCTGATAATTTAAAATATTAAAAGAAGGTAGTTTAATTATAACTCGGTATCGTTAACTAGTTGCGTATAATCCACACATTTCTGTTTGAGAGGAGTAAGTTTTTGTAATCCACCGAATTCAGCCGACGAGCACGTAACGTGCCAATTGTATTTTAAAATACTAATGTGAATAGATGTAGTTAAATTAATATATACATACATTTATTAGTACCGCGGGTGCTATTTTAATACATACAATTAACGGTATAATAATTATATTTGCTCGCACTTAATGTATTTGGAGAAAATATATAAAAACAATTCGAATATTGTCTTCTTTTCGTAAGTACAAGATATTTTGGATGAACAATTTTAGAACATATTTTTTTAAGTTAATTTATAAGAGACTAATATTATAAACGTAAAATGAATTTGTTTGTTATGCTAAACAGCGTTTGGTTGTAATGAATGATTGATTGATAATGAATGAATTGTTTATAATGAATGTTATATTTTTTAGTAAGTATATATTGTAGAAGGGATTCTGAAGATGGTTATAGACTACGCTTTCGACTTCGGTGGTCTAGCTTAGTTTAAAGTGTGTAAGAAATATATGATATAATGTAATATGCACTATCTCTAAAAGAAACTATGTCACAAGGATTACTGGCAATTTATAAAAAGAAAATAAAAATAATTCCCTATTGGTCTAGCGGTTTAGCCCCTTCGCTTTCGATGGTCGCGGGTTCGATTCCTCGTACAGTATAAACATGTGTATTATTGTTTATGAGTATGATTTTTATATTGGTTTGGGTGTTTCTTATGTATAGTATGAATGTATTTACAAAAGAAAATATACATGAAAATAAGTATTTATATGAATTTAAAAAAATCAAGGGATGCAATAGAGAATGAAATTTGCTCACGAAGTACAACTGCTACGCAAACGAAGTTGCGACCATCAGCTAGTAATAACTAAAAAGTAATAATTTTTTGTAGACTATAAATTTATATTAGGAAATATAAAAACTTCACAGTACATTACATTTATCGTTCCAAATGCCGATATAAGTATACGGTAATTTAATTACTTTGGGTAAGCACTTTGATCGTAATAATAAACTTAACTTGAGTACCTACTTAATTCGATTTCTGTTAGACTCCGTGTACGAAATAAAGTAAAATTATACACACAACTACCTGACCCCGAAAACGTTGTGTTGCCATATAAATTAAATCGCTATTAAAAATAGAGTTTCTCGATAGAATAATGAAAATTTAGGGTCCCTAAGTGATAAGGTTTAAAAATACATACAGTATTTTTGAACCTTATCACTTACTGATATGAAAAATAGGTAGTAGCTTATTCTCAGACCTAATGAATATGCATATAAAATTTAATAAACAGAGGTCAAGCCGACTCAAAGGAGCATGGTAACTAAGATTGTAACACGATTTTACATATTTAAATATACATTTTATTATATTAATTTTACATATATGTAATATTACTGCTCCTACTCACGACAAAGCCTAATCAGATTATAATTATAATAAAAGTCCTCTGCGTGTACCTCAATATTACCTATATCAGCCGCCAAGCAGCTTGCTTTATAAACTGCATTTCGGCTGAAGAGTGAGATCAATCAAATTACAGAAGATTACACTAAGAGACAGGACATTTTGGTCATCCAGAATGACAGTGGTATCACACTCATGCGTTGTCATTCTGGATGACTAAGATGTCTCATGCGGCGTCTTATGTTATATGCTATATTACTATATTCTGTTATATTCTACGTCGTCACCTATTGGTGACGTTTCTATATTGAGAAATAAAATGTGACATAGGTTATCTATTTTTAATACAATGTCAACTTGTAATATTACTTCATCGAGTAATGTGATTTGGTTGATAATAAATATAGTGTGTTTTGCAAAGTCATTTTTATTTATTTATTGAATTTCAATGCACAAAAATAATGTGTACATATGGCGGACTCAATACATTGCGATGTTATCTACCAGTCAACCATGAGTGGTGAAGAGAAAGAATGTTTCATTCATTTTGGTATACTACTAAATTTAAATTATGTTTTATTAATTATGTTTAAATTATGAGCGGGCCATGGAATTTAAAGCTTATTATTATGATAATTTAATTCTGACAGACTCTTCCTGATCATTGATATTTTTTAAACTGTTATTAGAATCAAACTCTGATAACAGATAAAAAATATTCGATAAAAGCTGTACGCGCAATATCAAGTGCTAACACCACAACATTGACAGTCTGTAATGCCTCTGACTACCCCGTCTACAATAACAATCGTGACTATGTTATTTTTATTACAGAAAATAGAAAGATAAATTTTTGTTTATAGAAACTTTATTTACATTATAACATTATTATTTTACACCAGTTTTTTTTCAATGACAATCACTCTTATGATGTTCATTCAATATTGATGATTGGCGCTATAGTTAGATCGGTCGCCAGCAACAGATCTTACTGATCCAGCCTTGTACCTACCCTGGGCTGCCAGTCCGTTAGCCTGGAAATAAAATAAAACATTTATACAAACAGCAGTAGATAAAAAGAATTAGTTTTTTTTTAAATTTCCTTCGTCCATAGATTAATAACACTATAATAAATTAATAACAACATAATGTCTAATTAGATAAAATATACATAAAGTGACGATAGACATGTACACTTAAGTTTACAAATTCAATTAAGCTACTAGACCTATAACATAAGCTCTGCTTAAGATCGCGCTGTGTCAACTTTGCCAGGCTGTTATTACTAATTGTATACCGTAGCACTATCTGCGTGGAATAACCTAGGTCGTTCTCTGACAACATATCTTTCTATAGCCGAAATAATGGTTACAGCGAGCTGATCTGATGAAGATGCTGAGAATTAACTAAAATATTAACTCAAACTAATGTTAACTAAAAACTGTCAAAAGATACACAACTACGTTCACTAGCTTTTATGGACGAGTGTCGCCATATTTGGGTTGAGGTCAGAAACTTTTGTGACAACCCAGGTAGTAATTATGCGAGTAAATTTGTAAATAGTACATACCTTCGTCCTTTTCAAGAGTTCCGCTTGTGCTTTCCTCACGTTTTCATCCTTCCCGGCCCAAGTCTTCCACACGGAAGCTTGCAGAGCTCGTCCATAGCTGAAGGTTAATGCCCAAGGTTTCTTCAGCGGAACACTGTTAATTGCGTTCAAATTCAGTGTCGCCTCCTCTTCAGACTGACCACCAGACAAGAATGTGATGCCTTGGAAGAAATTAGAAATTTTTAACCTGTTATTCGGGAAACTTTAAATGATATATAAATTTATTTTTCTGTTGATCTATTATATATATATATATATATATATATATATATATGTATATATATATATATATATATATATATATATTTTTCCTTTTAGAGCTATTTCATAACTTGAATGTAAGTGACATTGCTCTAACAATTAAAGCATTTTTGTAAAATTTTGAAGTTTTTATGAGTAACCAAAGAAATATTTATCTTTCCTCTACCACTGCATCGTCATCGTCATCACAAGATCCATCGAAAAGGCTACCGCTCTTAAATAATTAATGGTTTAAATTAAAACTAATTTAAAAAATGTGTAACCATCGCCTACAGATATGACCGAGACCACAAATCTTGGAGATAACATTATGATGTTCATACATTCATATGTTGCTATTTCTAGAGACCAAGATGTTATGCTACTGTGTCATGATATTGATCAATCGAGTCAAATAAGCCATAGTCAAGAAGTCATCACAACTATTCTCAAACACATCGAGGAGGCTGACCCCCTAAGTATACTCTATACTGTTAGTTCTGTTTCGTTTGGAATCAGATAGAGACAAGTCATTCATCCGACCCGTATTTCAGGCGTCCATAGGCTGCGGCCTTTGTGGTGTACAAAAAAAGTAAAAAAATCTGTTCTAAAATATTAAGACTGAAAGCCGCAATTCAAAGATTTACTCGATCTTTACTGTATCGAATAAGAACTTTAAAATGACTGTACCTGGTACAGCAGCTGGTACGCCACGTAATAATGCTGTAACAGTTCTGACTGCGATTTCTTCTGGGGTACTCTTTCCAGAATAACCTTGACCTGGTGTTACCTGGAAACAAATGAACAGTTTAGATATAACTAGCTACTCGCCCCGACTTCGCACGGGTGTACATGTATTATATATATAAACCTTCCTCTTTAATCACTCTATCTACTAAAAGAATCGTTTCAAAATCCGTTACGTAGTTTTAAAGATTTAAGCATATATACATATATATACGATATGTAAGCAGCGACAGCTATTTTGATTTATATCTACTATGTAATAATATATCGATGAGAGTAACCGCATATCAATCTACTATTGATCTAGGCTGAGCTGGGGCTTATCAATTTATTTAATCGTTACATAACCTAGAAGTGTAAACAGATCTATAAATTCTTTTTTTATGTAACGAGAAAGGTAACCTGAGGAAATGTGACCACCGTCAGCTATAGATTCATATCTAGCAGCACCAGCAAACATGTTATCACGTTACTGATACTAAGGTGTCTTATGTCCGTACCCTGTAATTTCTCTGCCATATACCTTTCAAGCCAAGACGTAACTTACAAAGCAATTTACTTTCACGCATACAACCGTGTGAAATTTACCTTACTACATTTAGTCAGTAAGCCATGTTATAAAATGTACGATACGCTAAATATTTACCATATTAGGCTTCAATAATGTCCCTTCCAAGAATACGTGATGATCGCTTAATGCCTTGTAAAGTGCCGCTAAAGCCACTTCCGTTACTTTTTGTGCTCTTACGATGTCATGATTACCTGGTACGTAAAATAACATTATTAATAAAACGCTGTATTTTTTTATTTTTAAACAACTGGAGTGACTTAAAAACTGACGGCACTTGATGGTGAGTGGTACACCGTTGCCAACAATATGAAACAATGTCGCGACATACGTTAGCCATTCCATGACACACTCGTGTCATAACTTAATATCCTATAATTTCACTACCTTATCTCTTCTCTTCAATGCAAATTGCTTGGCAGCTGAAATAGACGAGAGAGGTAAAAGAAACAAAAGACTTTTTAATAAAGTCTAAAAACTCGGCAAATACATATATAACTACATACACCCCAAAAAATATTTGAAATAGGATGGAAGAATAATTAAAGGTTAAGTGCGAAGCTATAATTACATTATATTAACTATTTGAACTTTCTACATTAAAATTACTTCAGCAAGTAAATTATAAATGATTTGCCAGTATGTGTTCAAAGTTATAATTACTTTTGTGAAAAATAACAGTAGGTAACCTCTGACTTAGATAAGTACTAAAATATAGTGTACTCCAACGATCAATATTAAAACAATGAATAATATATTAGGTGAGAATAGCCACGTAAGTCTAAACTTAAGTCACACATTTCCACATTAAATATTAAAATTTAGAAACGGATTAATCGATTTTTTCTGATAGCAAAATTTTCATTTCAACTTTAAACTATTAGATAATTACAATAATATTTATAAGAGCAACACGCAAGTTTCTTGCTCTTTCTTCTTTTGATGTGACAGCTTTCCGAATGAGCACTAGATTAAAAAAACTATTTAAAAGTGCTTTAATTTAAGATTATTGTAAGAAATTATTTTCTATTCTGTACCATTACCTACCATCTAATAAAACATCAGGTTCCACGATAGGTACTAAGCCTTCACTTTGGCAGATGGAGGCGTATCTGGCCAATACTTGGGCCATATCTTGAACGGCTTGAACTGACGGCGTCCTTTCACTGATCTTCAACGGACAACGCCACTTAGCGAATCTACAGCCCTGTTTCCTGTATTCTGTACACCGTTTCGCTAAATCGTCAAGACCTAAAAAAATACATAATGTGTTTTATAGTAGTAGATAACTTAGTTAAAATATATATAGTACAATTGTACTATAAACTGAAACACTCCCATATATTTCTGTTCGTCTAGTACTTTGCAAAAGTGTAAAATAATACCAAAAGACTTAATTCAACATTTATACTCTACCTGTGTACATTACATATCTGATCATATCTAATTATGTCAACAATAATCTAAATATATATAACTCAAAGGTGACTGACATAGTGATCTATCAACACACAGCCTAAACCACTGGATAGATCGGGCTGATATTTGGCATGCTGCTAGATGTTATGACGTAGGCACCCGCTAAGAAAGGATTTTTATTAATTCTACCCCCAAGGGGATGAAAGTTTGTATGAAACTTTGTCAATTTTAAATCGATCGGGCTTAAACTTTGCATGCATAAATCTTCTATGACGTAGCCATCCCCTAAGAAAGGATCTTGATAAATTCCACCCCTAAAGGGTTAATTAACGCGAGCGGAGCCGCGGGCAAAAGCTAGTCATCAATAAATATTTAAATAAAAACTTAAAAAAATATACTTCAACTTCCTCTACACTTTCACTTCAACCATATTATAAATGCACATATGAAATATCCCAATTCAAGTCAATAAATTTAAACATATTATTATAATAGTGGAAAAGAATTTAAGATAAATGAAAAAAATGCATATTTTGCAAGTACCTTGTGTAGTGACCTCATCCTCAGACAAAAATAACGGAACCACATCTCTGTCCAGTTTGATTCCCGGTATAATATTCTTCTGTCTCAGCACCTCAATGAACGATTGTCCATTGTCAGTCTTTTGGTATACGGTCTCGTCAAATAAGATAACAGCTGACACATTTTCTGAAAGTGCCTGTAAATATGAAACGTATGTATTTATTTATTTTTTTGGTTTCAATAATATGACAGTAATTGACAAATTGGATCCAAAAGATCAACCCTCAATTACAGTCCGTATAGTATAGTATAGGTTACAAGAAGTAGAAAAGTATCGTATTACTACGAATTATTAATTATTGTTGTACGATGTTAGTGTTATGTTTCAAATTGTGTACGAGAGTGAGATTTTACACAAACCCAACTCTTTTGTGTGTCTTGTTGATATATATCTATTCTATAAGCTTCGTATTTCAAATACCAAATTTTATTCTAAATTTTCACTTCTTTCTGTTAACCCTTTCGGTTTCCCTTCCTGGCCCTAGTTAGTAGTTTCTTTGTATAGTATATACTATAGTATATACTATACAAAGAAACTATAACTTAGGGTATATACTATAGGGTCAACAGAAAGAAGTGACAACCAAAAAGGTTGGGTATGTGTAAAATCTCACACTCGTACACAATTTGAAACATAACACTAACATCGTACAACAATAACGAATAATTTGTATTACTCTTTCCTACTTCTTGTAACCAATACGGTCTGTAATTGAGCAATATACACATCTTACGACAATTCCCTGATTTCCTTTATCGCCCACAATATGCTTATAATTTTTTTTATATTAGATATATTGAGAAGTCTAGATAACATATATTAAGACGTGTCTTAAGTAATAAATATTCAGAAATCCCAGTCCAATCCCACGTTATAATATTCAATCATAATCCCCGCTATAATGTTATTTGGGTACGGTCTAATATTGCAGAGACTGCTGAGATATATCCAAAACAACATCTAGTTTAAGGCATCCCTCATATTTCCTGCCTTCTTTAATATTTAACAAAAAAGGACTGGGCCCCAATGGGACCATTTGTTCGGGAAATTCGCTTGGCTCCGTAGGAACTTTTTTATTTGCCAACAAAAAGGTATTTTGGGGATATCTGCAGTAACTGGGGTCACTTCGTGCCACGATAAACATTGTTCAGGAGCACTTATCTTATAAGTAGTTTTTTCATGGATATTTAGCGGAAACTTGTAAGAGATTTATAAACTTCTAAATATTTTAGATGGCTATTTCAAATATTAGCTGTGGTAATACTGTGACTTTATCTACACGAAGCCCAGCCATTATAATAGGAATTTAAATTAATTGAAATAAAAAATATATTTGTTTGTTGATGGACATCACCATCTTAAAATGATTAATTAGTCTTAAAAGGTATACATAACCAAAATCTAATATCCAAAATCATAATTAACACATGAAACTTACATCATCAGCTGTAAAAAGAAGTTGCCTGTACCGTCTTCTATTATTTTCTGTGTTCTGCAAGCCCACTGCTGCTAATAATTTTCCAATACCCTCTACAAACAGAAATTTAATGTAATTATATTAGTAATAATTTAAAGATCGATATCAGATGTATTTATAAAACACGGTATAGTCCAGTCACCAATCAATTTAAAAATAATAAAGAATAGAATAGAAAATTTTAATTACAGGGTTTAGAGGCATGACATCATAGTGCTCTGGAATGGCAATGAATTATATCAATATTATTGAATTATGTATGTATTTACTATTCCTATTATGTGACAAAAGTTAAAAAAGATAATCGGTACTTATAATTTTAGTACAGCGGAAGCGACTTCATTCTATTCTATACTAGCTACCCACCCGGCTTCGCACGGATGTACATGTATTAAATATATAAACCTTCCTCTTGAATCACTCTATCTATTAAAAAAAAACACTTAAAATCCGTTGCTTAGTTTTACAGATAAGCATACATACTGACAGCGACCGCGACTTTGTTTTATACTATGTAATAAAGATTTATCGTTTCTCAGTTCGCCACTCTATATTTATTTGATGATTAAATTATTAATAACCCCACCGAAGCTAATGATATTCACTGTCTGGGACCAGATAAGTAGGAAAGGTTGAGAATGAAATTAGGTCAGTCAGTATAGCGTGGGGAATTCATAAAGAATTTATGAGAATGGTTTTTAGGATGTCGGTACTTACCATTTGTCTCATCAACAGCAAGTATTCCCTTTCCTGGTGCAACTATGGCTTCGGCGGTCTTCCTCAGCTCATCTTGGAGCCTAGGGTCAGGGTATGAGAAGGTAGTCGACATTGTGATATACTGAAATTTTACAAAATAAAACATAATTAGTGACGTTGTATATCTCGAGATGTTATCGTTCTGTCAAGGTTTAGTTCAGGGTTTAAGTAAATAAAAATAGTCATTTGTTATTACAATGTAACATTGTTTTTTATATATTACAGAATAATATAAAGGTATATGTATAAAAAAAAATAGTTTGTGTTCGTTAGTCATGATGAAACTAAGAAACGACTAGACTTATATGAAATCCTTTTTTTTTCATTTACACGTTATAATGGATGAATGATAAAATCGGCGAAAAAGGGAAAAATAAATCGGTACCTTTTTATACGATTTTGGGGCACTACTTTTTTCTTAAATTTAATAACTTTTAAAACGTAGTTCACTGGATTATCCTATACGAGTAGGTATATCTTACAAATATTATAAATATTAGTAAGATATACCTACTCGTAAAAGTTTGTGAGTATGGATGGATGTTTGTTACTCTTTTAATTTTGATGAAACTTTACAGTCATATAACTTATATATATCAGAATAACACATAGGTTACAAATTTCATGCAGGTGAAACGCTACTGTAACGTAATTTATTTCATCGATTTCTAGTTTTTTATGTCATAGAACACTTTCTATAGAGGTCATGCCACCTAAGCTATAATTTCACTTACAAATCTCATTCTACAACTGAAACACATGTTACAACGCAAGCTACTTGGCGGCTGAAATATACACTTTTTACAAATGCTGCTTTGTTTAAAGCTGCAATTTACCAACCTTTAGGGAATTATAGTAATTGAAAGCGCAAAATCTATATACTTATATATATAAATAGATAGGTCTTTTTTATCTAAACATACGCATTATTATTATTATTTTAGTATTTTAGTTTTCATTATTATTTTAGTACAAGAACATTAATTTAAATTTATTAAAAAATAAGAAAATTATACATTTGTGAAAAAGATTCTCCCCTGTATAATTAACTTCATTTTCCTCCTTATATTATTAAAAATTTAAAAATTAATCTATAATATTTATTAACGATTAGGCCATTTTAAATATATATTTTATAGCCATAATACCAGATCTCCATACGTTTCTATAACGACAACTATTTTTCAGCGTAGTCATATTTGTATGATAGTAGAATAGAAATTGTCTTAAATTAGATATTGATTTCACATAGTTTCATATAAAATATTACGATTTTATCCCATAGTTTGTTATTCGTAAATTTTATTTCCGCATTTGCGAACTTTTTTACTGCGAATAGGTGTACATATAAGACATTCCCGTGATCTACTAGGTACTATCATCGTATAGGTATAACATTAATGTTTTTTTTATGATTTCCTTATTACTTGCACTTAATAATGAAAATAAACTCTGAACAGACAGACAGACGGATGGCCTGACGGAAAAACAAACGCACAACAAAATAAATTATAAGTCATTTCATTTTTCTACCTATAAAAAAATAACACTCTATTTCTCCATTTAAATAGATATAAATCAAATAGGGTACTATATACAAATACAATACGAATCTTTTTACTGTATCTCAAAAGCGATCTTGTTTAGTTTATAGAACTTGTAAATTAAGAACATAAGAAAATTTTGTATTTAGCTATACTGGCATAAATAAAAAAAAAATAGTGTTGTGCTCACCGAATTTCAGTACTGCACCGGTGACTAAAACAAATAGAACTGAATAAAAACAGATTCCACAGTAACTTAAGATACAGTTATCTGTCAAGATACGGGTGGTGTCATAATGGTGGATTAATTTTAACAACATAATTATCATCAGCGCCTTAGAAACACGCGTTATAGGCACTATTACAACATAACGTGATTATGTCATAGTTGTCAAAAAATATTGTCAAGCTAGTAATTTCATATGAGATAGTAAGATTTTTTTTCGGACTACTCTAATGCTGTTGCCCGCAGCTGGCCTTTACAGCTTCACCGAACGATAGGAGATGAGTGCAGATGGCAACGGAAAGACTTTCGTGAAGGCCAACTACGGATACGACTTTAGTGAACCATGTTAATCGATCCCCGTTTGATAATATCGGAGGGGGTAGTAAGAGATACAGTCCACAGATTTCGTTATGGTGAACATGTTAGTCTATATCATGAGACCAAATTTCTTATTCTTCATTATATTTTACATTTATAAAATTACAATAAATAATTAAGTGTACTGGATCAACGATGTATCAATTTCTAAAGCTATTTATGCATATCATTCTCTACTACTCTTTAATACCTTTATAAACCTTTAGAATATTTTGTGAACTTAATTGTTATGAAAATGTTCTAATTCAATAGTTAAACGCACATTCTACATATACTACTAGATACAAAAAATTCAATACGTGCATTTCGACAAGACCTACTTTCCCGCCTTAATTTTGACAATCTACTTATAACGTAGAAAACCTTTTTTAAATGGAACATTAATATATATGCCCTCTATTTCTTACTGTTTCAAAACTTTAGTAATGTATGTCTATAATGGATAATCGATTTATCAAATCGATCGACTTTCTATAGAACGTTGATATGACATCGTTACACACTTAAGACCCATCGTTACATACAAAAAATCTATGACATTATTATAATAAATATGGCATATTAAAAAGTGTGGCACCTCTAATTTCAATGTTTTTATAGAGTACTAGCTATCCACCCCAGCATCGCACGGGGGTATGTATTTTACATATAAACCATAATATATTCAGATAAATAGCATACCTGGTAATGAAAATTTATTAGTATTAGAATGTTAATATGTCGCTTTCAACATTTCAACAACAACAGAGGCCAATTACGTTCCACGTGTAAAGTGATTTCTGGTATAATTCATGTAAAGCGTGCTTTTGTACCTTCAGCTTTAAACCACAAACAATAGCTACTACTACCTATACTCGAGAACCAACTTACAACAATTATATTGAATGTTAGGAACACGCTGTATGTATGTAAGTCTTGAGCCCAGGGCCATATTAACTATTAGGCAAAGTAGAAAAATGGCTAGGAGACCAGGGCTGGCACAAAATAGATTGAAAACGATACACAGTGCAAAAATTTTTATTAAAATTTATCCCTATTGACCATAGGTATTGAATTATTTTTATTCGATGCAAGCTGTTAATATTAATAAATTTTAGTATTAAATCAAATATTTTTTTATCGTGTGAGCTAATAAAATGTAATATAATAAAAAACTGGCTGCCGATGTCGTCTTCACCGCCACTAGCCTTCCGCGTGATTTTTCGTAACCGAAAAATCCAAATACTTGTCTATATAGAAGTTTAACTTCAATAAATGGGTACTGTTGTTACGTTATTGTGGGTTATATAATTGTGGGCCCGCGTTATGTAGTTTGGGGTAAACGTTTTTTTTTACTATTACCAGCACCACATCAACAATTTGAAATGTAGTTGTTTATTTACAAACAACTGATATATCGATAGTATATATATATATTATGAAGTAAGAATGAGATACCAATATTTAAGACTTTTTTTAAACGGCGATGGCCCAGATTCATTTTATTATCCAAGGGCCCTGATATAGTCAATCCGTCACTGCCTGAGCCATACCATTGCACCATACAACAACACGTGATATACATTATGATACTTATATAATAACAATTTGTACAAGTTCACGAATAAGTAAGATAATAAAACACGTTTGATAATATCATATACCATTGAAAAGACGTTTTAAGATAACCTCCATAATGATATCTCATGAGGTCATGAGTACCATGAAAAATAATGATGGTAGATACAGACAATTACGTCAATTTATAGATATTTAACAAATTCCATTATCATCGCCAATATATTTGCTGTAAGTGGTTCACCATCTAACATAAAGTTACATCTAATTTAAATATAGTGGTTATTTACTCAGTGTTATTTGTAATAACGGTAACAAACTAATTATAAAAAAAGCCAAAAGAAAAAACCGATTAAATTGAATAGAGATTTCTATCTCTATTTAATTTAATCGGTTTTTTAACTACAAAGTACTAGGTAATACATAGTCTTTTTAAATATAAATCAAATACCTAACGCTGCAGTTAGTAAGCATACATATATAGTAGTTCTCAATAATTTTCAGTATGGGGATGAAAAATTGTCAGTAATGTGAAGTAATAATCCCATTGCTAACAATTTACCAAGTCGGGTTGACCTTCACGTGGTTTCGTCGTGGAAACCATCCTGATAATTTCCTGATGGATTTGTCACAATGGGCTAACTGACCTGACCTCATGCTCATCTTGTGATCCTCTACAGCGAGGGTCTTCAACCCACGGCCCGCGGGCCTCATGCTGCCCGCTGCCATGTTTCCTGCGGCTCGCCATCAGCATAGGCCCACTCTCGATAACGACAATAATTAAGTAATAAAAAGTACCTTTAAGTTGTCGAAATTAGTGAAAACTACACAGCTGTGTACGTTCTTTTGTCCCTTTATTATCATAGCCCGTAATTAACTCGACTGTCGGGATCATGCATACAAACAAACAAACGTTCTAAGAAATTCGTTCTTTTGTTTACAAATTGGAATTACTTGCACGTGTAGACAGTTGTTGACCATTTTGTCAGATTTTTTAAATTTTTTTTAGCATATATTCAGATGGCAAACTGTTCTTTAGTCAGTAAGTGCTGAGCGTTGAACGGCCTGTGTTGTGCGAATTTAAGCCAGTACTAGTCGAAAACGCAAAGTTACGGATGAGCGCCGATTATTTCAAGAAAAATGGACGAACTTATATTTATTTGTTTGTGTTGGAGAAAAGCCGATTTGCCTCGTATGCAATAATCGGTGCTGTAAGGGAATATAATATCAAACGTCATTACGATTCCAAACATTCAAGTAAGTTTGCTCTCTTTCAAGGACAACTTCGTATTGATAAGGTGGAGTCCCTGAAAAAACAACTTGAACGCCAGCAGCATTCATTCCGCAAACATAATGAAGACAGTGAGGCAGTAGTAAAAGTAAGCTATATTATTTCAGAAAAAATTGCATGCAAGTCAAAACCATTTACTGACGGTGAATTCATAAAAGAATGTTTGGAGGATGCAGCAGATGTTATTTCCCTTACAGAAATCACTTTACTCCAAAATAAGTTTGTCTGGTGTTACTGTAGCTCGAATAGAAGACCTGGCAATTCGTTTATTACTTGCACTCGACGAGAGTACAGACTTAACTGATACCGCGCAGTCGGCTGTGTTTATTCGCGGCATTGACAGGAATTTTGTTGTCACTGAAGAAATGGCTGCTTTAGTTCCAATGAAAGGCAGCACAAAAGGTAGTGATTTGTATGAATCATTCAATGCTGTCGTAAATAAATATAAACTAAATATGTCAAATTTGGCTGGGATTACTACGGACGGCGCTCCGGCTATGGTTGGAAAAAATGAAGGATTTGTTGCTTTAGTAAAGAAAAATAATCCTCATGTTTCTTTTGTACAGTACCATTGCATCATTCATCAAGAAAACTTGTGTGCAAAATCTGTTAATATCAAAGAAGTAATGAGTATTGTAGTAAAAACTGTGAACTTCATTAAATCTCGAGGATTCAATCATAGGCTGTTTCAGGAATTTTTAAAGGAGATCCATGCTGAATACTGTGACATAACTTATTTCTGCGATGTTCGTTGGCTGAGCCGAGGTAAAATGTTAAAACGAGTTTTTGACTTGTGAAAAGAAATTGCCGATTTTATGCAAAGTAAAGATAAAGCTGTGCCGCATTTCAGCGATGAAGAATGGCGGGCCGATTTAGGTTTTCTTACCGACATCACATCACAACTCAATGACTTGAATCAAAAATTACAAGGAAAAAATAATTTAGTTCACGAATTACTTGATTTTTTAAAAGCGTTTGAATTAAAACTCGAACTATGGATCAGCCAGTTCCAAAGAAAAATTACGACGCATTTTCCTCATCTGTCATTATTCCATATTTCGAATATGGACAAATATATTTCTGCACTTCAGGATCTGAAAACACAATTCCATTCGCGATTCCCTGATTTTCGGAGAGACGAAAAGTACCTGAATTTATTTGCTCGTCCATTCAGTGTTTCGGTTGAAGAAGTTCCGGAAGAATTTCAGATGGAATTGATAGAACTACAGTGCAATTCAACCTTAAAAAACAAAATTGATGTTGATTTGCTTGATTTCTATTCGAAATACGTCTCCATTAGAGATTTCCCCAAAATCAGAGATCATGCACTTAAAACTATATCACTTTTTGGATCCACATATACATGTGAGCAGTTATTTTCACGCATGAAAAACGTGAAATCTAAAATGTGGACCAGAATCACCGATGTTCACCTTGAGAATAGTTTGAGGATTGCAACCAGCAATATTAAACCAGATATTGATAAACTGGTTAAAAATAAACAGTGTCAGATATCTCATTAACCAATTGAATTAAATTGATTTTTATTTGATGTTAGCTCAATAATTTTTTTTTTCTACTTATCTACTTGTTTAATCATCCTGACCATTGCCTATAAAAATACCTATGGTACCAGAAAAAATTTTTTTTTTTGCCCTTGTATTGTAAAACGTTGAAGACCGCTGCTCTACAGTGTAAACCGTTGGCACAGGCGGATGATCCATTTTACCATAATCCATTAAAAAAAACTATTTTCAGTTTAGGTAATTAGGCAATAAAATAGTAAAACAGCAGCCTCAGTGGTCCAGTGGTTTAGCTCACCGCTTTAATAGAATCTACAATGACAGAAATCTTGTTAATAAAAAAGTTTTTTGTATGTAATTCTAATGGCTAACAAACTGACGGCTCAATGGATGGTAAGTGGCAACCATCGCCTATATACTTAAATGAGCAGACCTAGGACTACATGTTAATGTGTGATATATCTATTAGGTGAGGATATCTATACCTACATTGCCATTCCGAAGTATTAAGATGTTGGTATGTCTCTGTATCCTGTGATTTGCTTATCTTATGCTTCAACTGAAACACATCTTACAAAGCAAGCTGGTTGGCTTCTGAAATAGATGAGATCAAGATATTCTTAGGCTTAGTTCGTTCGTTCGAGTGATCTTATGGATTATAAAAAATGTCCTGTGTTACTTTGAAATTTAATATGAAAAACTTCGGCATTGCAACTAAAAATTACGCTATGTAATATTTTTTACGATTTTACATTATTCTGTGATTAAATATTTTATTTTATTGAGCGTGAGTACATTTACACAAAAAGAATATGAACAGCGTCATCTATGTATTGTGGATGCAATCAATATGAATTGCTTGTGCATTGTTTTGTTTCATGATCAACAGAACGTGCTACGTTATCTTAAATTGAAGCAGTTTCACAATTTTCTACTAGATGTCGTTTTATAATCTGCGACAGAAGTTGCTTGCTATCAGCAGACCTTCAAATGACCTTTCAATCGTGTCCTTTCTTCGACATCCATCCAAATCATCCAAACCGTTTGACAGTAATATAAACAGAGTAACAGTTTGGGAGTGTCTGGCTGCGTCTTACACATAAAAAATAATAGTAAGTAATTTTTTTTATAAAACTTGACACTAAAAATAAGGGAAAATGAATAACTTTCTAACGGTAATACCTGTATGATTAGTTAGGTTATATTACTCTAAATATAATACAATATTTATTTTCCGGTTATACGGTATCCGTCAATTAACACTTATTTGAATTAATTAAACGCAAAATAATGTTTGGTTTTAATATAAATACTTTTTAAGGTGTATATATGATTAAATTGTTTATGACGAGGAGATTCTTTTTATAATATTAAAATACATTTTTTATTCTTTATTCGACAATATTAGTGAATATTGTCTTATTTTTAAATTATATCTTGTTATCTAATTTTTAAATTATAACTTGTTAGTAGTGTTAAATTAAATAAAGAAATATCTTCACGTTATGTTGAATATTAAACATTATTTTTCATTTACATACAAAATAAATAAAAGTGATGAAATATTAGGTGCCTATAAAGCCTATATTTAAGATCTGTCAATATTTTATTAATGTTACAGTTAATATTTTATATAAAACTATTACTTTTTTTGTTTTTTGTATATACTTGACACGTTGTTCTTTTCCGGTGACCTTTCAAGGTTACTGTCTTGTAAGAAATGAGAGTAAAAGTAGTAGTTGATAGGTAGGTTTTCAATATTTAATTTTATATTATTCTCAACCAGAATGTGCATTTATCTTACCAGGCAAGAATTAAATCTTTTATTTTAAGCAGTTATAATGATAGTAGATATATTTTTTTATTCAAACGCAATAACATCCTACCTTCTAATAATAATACAATTATTATTCACCTATTGCTATTATATATGCTTTTGATAAATAATAAAATCTCGAAATTCGATTATAACTTTAATTTATACATATACCTGGCACAACACTATTCGCTGTCAACTAATTAGTGTCGTTGACCTCTTAAATTATTTTCCAATTTCAAACTTTTATTTATTTTTAAATAAGAATTACTTTGAAAACAAAGAAAAACTGACACAATTGCTGTGGTCAAGGTGAGTTTATTACAATTATATTAGCCGTAATGTCGAGTATATTTTTCTGATAAAATTAATTTTAAGTGAAATTTAAAATACAATGCCTCCAAAAGGCAAAAAGGGAAAAGGTAAAAAAGGACCACCTGAATCAGGATGGATGCCAGGCTTCGGGACGAAGGGTAGGCCTTTGATTTTAAAATTTGCGGAATATAAATTCCAAACGCCGATAGAGTCACGTACCTACCTCTGCAAAGTCGATCTATTCTACGTTGATGATTAATATTAATATACTGTGACTAACGCAAAAATACGAGGTAAAATGTGTTTATGGAAAGCAAAAATCAATGGAATAACTGTGTCATAAACTTAGCGTTGTTTTAGTGCTTATAGTGAAGGTATTGATTTTATCTGCTGATTATAATAATTTATCTATTTACTGTTCCGTGTTGTTTGACCCGTTTATTATCTGCTTTTATTTCCTAAGTCCATGATAAATTTATTTTTGCAACTATAGTGCTAAATATTAACAAACATGATCAAAGGCAAGGTTAATCGTTAAGGGCACACTTTCAAAATTTGGTGCTCCTGTAAAACTTTTCTGTAGCGAATGTGGAATTTTTATAAAGTGTAAAACCTCTATACAAAATGTGCAATCTCAGAATATACACAAGTTTTTCAGATTTCCATTTAAATATAGCTCTTTAACAGATGAATATACAGTTGAACAAGATTTTGATATTTTATCTTAGCGACTTTGAAAGTTAGTTTTTTCATTAAGTAGCACCATTTTCTGGTACCATTCACTGGTTATTTGGTACCTTTCTGGTAGCTAAGTTGATTTCAATACTAATCAAACTATATGTACAATTATGACTATTCTTCCGTCTATGCTGGTACTGAAATTATTACTCGTTCTATCCTTGGGTGTTCTTTGGTGAAATACAGAATTCAACCAACCTGATGCCAAACAGCAATTCATTGTCGGGAAATCAATGGCGCATTATAACTGACACAATTGTTAGTTGATCCATCTTGTACACATAGCCATAAAATATGACTATACATTTGTCACTGGATCCATCTCATACACATAGCAATAAACTGACTATAGCACACAGGAAGTATGTCACTAGTGCAGCTAGACTAAGATGAAATAATTTATAGTTTATAGTTTTTGATTGTTGTGGAGACACTTACATAATATTGACTTTGAAGTTATTTGTCTCTGTGTTCTTATCTGGTAACATATCAATATAAAAATATTTTAATGTTATTTCTGTCCTATATATAACCTGCCTACTTGTAATAAAAGTTTTTTTGTGCTTTTTATTAATGTTGTTATGAATATAATTATTGATTGGGCTTATTTCATTATAACTACTCCTATCTGCTACACGTTTAGTGGTCTTGTAGAAAATAAGTGTGAAACTTTGCAATGTCAAAGACAATAAATAAAATTAAAAATAAATATGATAATGGTGATCTGGAACGGACTAACCCAAAGAGAAGGAAAACTGATGGTATTTTAAAAACAGTGATTTTAATATTTTTTAAGTATACATGGAAACCAAATTGAAAAATCTTTTGAGTGGATTTCTTAAATGTTTTTTATTAATTATTTTTTTATTTATTTAACTTAATGCACACAATACAAAATAGAATTTTGTATTGTGTGCATTGAAGTTAAATATACTATGTATTAAATATACTATATTATAGTACAGTCCATTTGGCGGATGTAACACTATGCAGCATATTATTAATTATTATATCACTGCGTAAATGCTGTCATAAATAAAACACAATATAAAATGTTGTCAGATTACATGTTAAAGTTAGACCATTTTTCTAAAACAATGTTTCAAAATCATTCTATTTTAATTTTTCATAAACATTTTACATCTTTATTGTTAGACCATTTTTCTAAAACAATGTTTCAAAATCATTCTATTTTAATTTTTCATAAACATTTTACATATTATATATATATATAATACTTGTGATACTATTTGATTTGAGGAAGAAGTTTTTATATAGAAATATTAATTCATTCTATTAGTTAAAACTTGTTCACGATTTTTAAATAAAGTTTTAATGTTATGTATGTTTCTGCAGCCACAATGACTACCTACTTCCAATACCCCACCCCCGAGCTTCAGGAGGAGCTGAAGAAGATCGCCCAAGCCATTGTTGCTCCTGGCAAGGGTATTCTTGCAGCTGATGAATCTACAGGTTAGATTTATTACAACAATTCTTTACACACATTTAATAAAATTTATTTACTATTGATACTAAATTTTATACTATAATTCTTAAATTTATTATGTGAGAATATTCCTGATGGCTCCAGTGATATAGCGGTTTAACACACCAATGGTCGCAGGTTCAATTCCTCGCACAACACAAACATTTGTATTCATGAGTATGTTTGTATCGGTCTGTGTGTTTTCTATGTATAATATGTATTTACGAAAAAAATATTTATCTATGTATTTATATCAGTTATCTAGTACCCATAACACAAGCTTTAGCTAGCTAGGTCTAAATGTGCTGTGTGAATTGTTCTGAGATTATTTATTATTTATTACTATTATTGTTATTATTTATTCCTGAAATTATAAGATAAGTACCTTGACATCTTAGTCCCCTGGAATGGCAACATATGAGTGGTACTACTGGTGTCGCATGAACCATCAGTTGGGCAGTCATCTTATTTGCCATTCCAATTACAGAGAAATTATTTAGTTCTTGATTGTCTTAAAAATTGTTTCTATTATATTATGTTCTTGTGATTGGTGACATGAATAAAGCCTATTACACACTAAACGATTACTCGAATGACAAACATGCCCGGTAATAATACTTCATGCACGGGATTTTTCACTTCTATGTTAAACATAGACACCTACATAGTACACAATGAGAAAATTTGGTAAATATTAAAAAAAATTATAAGTTTCTTGCCAGTTCTTCTAGATTGAATTTGTATACTGAACTAGACTGGTAGAAAAAAATATTAATACAAATAATTTGCCGTTCCATAAGCGGTTAATGCCCTACATGAATAAATGATTTTTGACTTTGATTTTGAATATGTTGTATTATGTTTAGGGACCATGGGCAAGCGTCTCCAGGACATCGGAGTTGAGAATACAGAAGAAAATCGCCGCAAATACCGCCAACTTCTCTTCAGCTCTGATGCGGTAACCTATACTTTTTATGTACCTAATTGGAATGATAAACAGACTGACAAGCCATCTAACGCTAAACGGTAATCATCACCTATATACATGAACAGCAACACGGGACATTATGTAATCACGTGTCACCCGTGATATCACCCATGCTTTGCCATTCTGAAGGACTGAGATGTCATGCATTTTGATTTGTAATTTAACTGCTATATCTATACTCTGTACTGATTAGGGTTCATGATTTCTCGAGCTTTTCAATTTCTTGGGTCTCGAGAATTCTCGAGGTTAATTTCTCGGGTCTTCTCGGGTTGTCGAGAAATTTACATTTACGTACGTTTGGTTTATTTTTTGTTCCAATAACGTCAAAAAACTCAGTGGTTTCATTTGAGACGAAAATCACTGCAGTTTTTGTTAAATATTAATTATAAAATTTAACTATAAAATTAATTATAAAACTTTTATTGAGTAGGTATATTTAAAAACATTATACATATTATGAAGAAGCCATTTTTTTTAAATACTGAAATATATTAGGTTCTTAAATATGAAATTAGCGTTTTGTCGTACTGGCCACTTTGATCTTAAATATCTCCTCTTTGGTTAGAAATTTCAATTTCAAATTTATACGGCTATTCACTCATGCATTTGTTTTTCGAAAACCGTAATACATGTGCTTGGTTTTTTCTTTGGGTCACTCAGCTTACAAAATGGAAAACTTAAAATATCGCGTCAATATACATGAAAGAAAACCTTAATATCTTGTATTATTGTGCCGCTACGCAATACAACAAACGTCAATTTAATTTCTATATAGGTACTTGATTTCTCGAGTTCTCGACTTTTCTCGAGCTTGATTTACCGGGAACAGAACCCAAGGATTTCCCGGGAATTCTCGACCCGAGAATTCCCGGGAATGAACCCTAGTACTGATATATACTTGTATATAGTAGTTTTCTTGTCTCAAGATCACCAGTTTTTTTGGAAGATAACCAGCCTTATACAACTCCTGCTTCACATTTCGTGATCATCTTCGCATAGGATGTCTTTTTCGCCGATCTTTCATCCGACGTTCTTTCCTCATGCCGGAATCAATATATTCACTTTCTTTTTACACCGACAAGCTCATGAATTTGTTTATTACCAAACGAATACCACTATAGAAATAATATACAGTTTTCGAAGTAGTATGTAGTAAGTTGCTTGTATTTTTTTTTATAATTGCTTGTATTATACAAGCATTTTTAATACAAAATGCTCAAAATCTACCACAGTCCTCCTTTACTTAATACTAGACGGCTACTACAGAGGTGAATGCACTCGTATCTTGTTGCATTACTGGTCTGGAAATCAAGTTCTCGCAACTCAGTTGGAATTCATAATATTGGTTTCGAGATATACATAACATTTATGAATTCCTGGTACTAATATTAAATTAATAAGGTTCGCCTGTTTGATTTGATCTGGGTATTTTTGTAAGGTAAATAAAAATGCATTCAATCAAAGTATCGAAATTAAATAGATAGAAAAAATAAATTTGTTATTAAAAAAATAATACAGAATGATACTTTCTTTTTATTAAATTTTTATTCTAGATATTTGTTATTATTAAAGGTAAACACTTTCCACAGCTATCTCTATCTCACCTATGTATTTCTCCCGCTAGAAGTTTACTCTACAGATTAGTAGGAGGGTGTTGTTTGCCGCACTGATCATATCTATGGCGAAGTTTATGTACTAAGTTAAAACCATACTAAGAAGGTCACTTTAAAGTTTTTTTTTATTAGAAATTAAATAAATTATTACTCATTACAGGCAATTTCCGAGAACATTTCCGGAGTGATTCTATTCCACGAGACCTTGTACCAGAAGACGGATGATGGCACACCCCTGGTGTCTCTATTGGAGAAACGCGGCATCATTCCTGGCATCAAGGTCGACAAAGGTGTCGTACCTCTTTTTGGATCGGAAGATGAATGCACCACTCAGGGTAAGTAGTAACTGTTTTGGAACAACTGACATGGTTAACTTTCTTGTCAAATTGCCGAAAAAGAATAATATGAACAATTCCAGGTGGAAGTAGGATTTGGTGTACCATTACGACTAACCCTTATTAATGAAAGCATATACCCATGGAAACAGGTCACAACAGGAGTGAAATAAAAAAAATGTTACTTAACCAGAATCTTCCATATGCGATATTGGCACTTTCCGTCACTTTGATTTATTTCTACATTGCGTCACCTATCTTATCTATTTCTTATATAAAATATAGAAATAATTAGGTGCTCGTTTAACTTATCATTTTTAATTCTTTTGACCGAGAGTTTCCCCAAATAGGTCATTGTATGAGTATGACTGTTCAAAGTCCAAGCACCGTAGACTATCCCAGAAAGAAGCTTCTATTTGTGCAGATTTCTGGAAAGTATACTAGGGGACAATAAAAAATAATAGTAATGAACTACATGTAAAACTCTTTCACTTTTCTGTGTTCCATATGACATGAACTTTATATATAATAATTAAATACAGATAAAGTATTATATGTCTGTTAATTTTAAACTTTCGTGTTTAATATACATTATTTAAATTAATTATTTAAATATTAAATACCTTTATTTGCCATAAAATTATTCGTGTTAAGACTCGGTTAATAATTTAAATAATGTATATTATATGTCTGGTTCTAAGCTAAAGAGAACTACTACTGTAATTTTTACAAAACTACCAGATATTAGTAAGTACATTTTTTCAAATATATATGCAACTTAATTAAATAACAGACCAACACAAACTGTCACACAAATTAAAGTTTACTTTGTCCGGGTTAGATTTCGAGACTATTGGTAGCTAAAAGTAGGGATACCATAGTCATATAGTTGTGATATTCTGTCCTTTATATACTTCAAATATAAATAATCTTTATTGAAATAAACTTAATATAAACACTTGAATATTCAAATAATATTTTTATAATTCTAATGCTCGGAATCGGAAAGCAGACACAACATAAGAAACTGTGTTCCTCTTTTAAATAAATGAATGTCATACAAAATCCTAAAGATGCAGTACATATTTAGGATTTTGTGTGAACAAAATCCTAAATATGTACTGCATCTTAAATATAATCCAAACTGCCATATAGCAAGATTGATAAAAGTAAATGTAATAGTCATTTGAGTGACAAATATATCAGTAATAGTTATCAAGACCAGTCCCTTCATGCAGCATCTGTTCATCTATATAGACAACTGCTAATAAAATACATGTAGGCAGTCGTATTGTTTGCCAATATACGGTCATATACAAAAGGGTTATGGGCTATATTTTTATCGAAATTAATATTTTTTTTTGTACAATCAGAAATAACAAATGATCCATAATATATGAAGAAAAGGTCATTTATTTTATAAAAAAGAGATATTATATCGATTTATTAAATTCTACAGTATAATAAAATTACTATCGTGTAAATAATTTAATTTCGGATAGTGCCACACCACAACATTCAAAAAATGTAAATAATGAAGAAATATGTCACAAGTTAATAGTTTTTTTTTAAGGCTTGTTTATTATTATTTAACATTGGATATTGACTTTAATTTTTGTAATTTATCAACTTGTTTGAGCCGTAAAACAAATTGATAAAAAAAATCGCTTGTTTGACTATCTATCTACACACATATCCGTATATGTTATGGTTTTGTTCTCTGTGATGGATACAAAACGCACGCGATGTGTTGATTGGTTGTTATTTGAAATGATAATTATATCTTATATAAGTATTAAATACATTTTTTATGATACTGAGAATTTATTATATTCAAATGCAAAATGTTATATTTAAAAACATTATTGCATTTGAGTATATTATGTATTTATTTATTTTTAGTTGAACTGGGGTAGACTTTCTATAATGTCATCTGCTTGGGTACCTCTGTCGTACTTATCATAACGTAATTACTAGTTATGAGTCCTCCGATATATGTAGTAAGATACAGTTCTTAAGTGGTAAGTGTATAGGCGACAATTTATTTATAGATCATCAAGCATACCTTTTCTACGTCTTCAGAGTTATGCTACCCTGGTGAACGTATTGTTTGATAAATAACGATATTAATCGCATCGAATGCATAGTTTTTGAGCCTGTACACTAATCAGAATAATTGCAATTTATAAATCTTTAAAAATAGTCTTCTTTTTTCAAAACATACTTATTCTATCTTTATCTAGTTATGCTACTCTGGTAAAAGTGAACTTATTGTTTCATGAATATTGAAGGAATAGTTTTTATTTGACTTAGTTTTAAAATTAAAAAATAATCTATATTTGTTTTAGGTCTTGATGACCTCGCCCAGCGTTGCGCACAATACAAGAAAGACGGTTGCCACTTTGCAAAATGGCGCTGTGTATTGAAGATCGGACGCAACACTCCATCTTATCAGGCCATTTTGGAGAACGCTAATGTCTTGGCCCGGTACGCCTCGATCTGTCAGAGCCAGCGCATCGTGCCTATCGTTGAACCCGAAGTTCTTCCTGATGGTAAGTGACATCTGCAACTATTTTGTGTTTTCCTAGTAAATTTTGTATTAATAAAACATTTTTATTTTTGATGAATTGAAATGGATGATGATGAAATGGTGCTACCGTCTGTCGAGACACTAGCGCATGAGTATAAATTCAGTCACGTTAGTTAGTACATTGTAATTAATTCTCCAGGAATTAACCAAGTGGCCTGACCTTTGCCTACGCATCATAGTCTCCATTATCAACACACAACCAATATGTTGCCACATTTTGGAGTGGATAATCTATAAGAGATATAAAAGTGTATACTTGTATTGTAAATAGTAAAACGTAAACTTAGATTTGTTCCTTGACTGCTTAATGTATAATTGTCTTTAATAATAACTTGATCATATTTGTTTGTGATGAATAATGCACTTTTATTCTAGGTGAACATGACCTTGATCGCGCACAGAAAGTCACTGAGGTCGTCCTGGCAGCTGTGTACAAGGCGCTCAACGACCACCACGTCTACCTTGAGGGTACCCTACTCAAACCTAACATGGTAAGGCAGTTTGACTTATTAATACTTATTTATTCTTTATACTTTCTGGTGACTTTGGCCACTTTTTTTTAAATGCCTATATCCTTCGCGATACAATCTGTCTTCCCGCCAAATTTCAGGAGGATCTGTTAAGGCATTTTTACTGAAAAGGTAACAAATAGGTAGATCTAACAATTTTAATACTAAATTTGGATTACATTCTAAAATTGTGTATAATTGACGAGCCATATAGCATTTTGTATCATTATGAATTATTATTGTTTCTATGCCAGTGAAAGGTCTCTGTCCTGCTTCCTAATTTCTTTATTAATCTTTAGATTATAGAGTAGCCATTAAGATGCTGTCTATTTCACTCTGTTCATGTCCACCACTCATCATTGCCTCAGATATGAAAAACATACTTCAATGAGTTTTTATAATTTTAATAAAATACGAATAAAAATGGGTATTTAAATTGACTAGATGTTTCAACTTGGTTTCAATCGTAATAAACACATTGGATTACAACAAAGTAAGGAACTGAAATAATTGTATCTAATTTTCTTCTCTAGGTGACTGCTGGTCAGTCCTGCAAGAAAACTTACACTCCATTGGACGTTGCACGTGCCACCGTCACTGCTTTATTGAGGACAGTTCCCGCTGCCGTACCTGGTGAGTTATGATCAACATTGTTATGGTACCCTAGTATATGATCTGATTTATCAAAGCCAATGACTTAGCCCAATAGCAGAAATTACTTTGTAATTCACAATGATAGTGGGTATTTAAACAAAATTGTTTATGATTAAGTTAGCCACAGGTAGACATTATTCAAAGTCGCCTGGCTCGCCTAAATCTACAGTTAAGAAGCTAGTCTAGTAGATGAGACCATAGTGCTCACATATAAAGGCAACAGTTCAACTTCCCATCAGATTGACCATCACTTCGATTTCAATTTTAATTTCATAAAAAAATTTGGATTAAGATTCTTCAAATATAATCCGAAATTTAAGGTAGAGTTGTCTAAGAGATTAGATAGAAAATTTGTGTGGTCAGTCACTAACATCAGTATATCTACTATTTTAGTTACACATAGATCATAATCTATGTTCGTTGGTTTTATTACATCGCCTTTTTTATATTTCAGGCATCACATTCCTCTCTGGTGGTCAGTCAGAGGAGGAAGCATCAGTACACTTGAACGCCATAAACTCAGTAGATCTGAAAAGGCCGTGGGCCCTCACCTTCAGCTTTGGACGCGCCCTCCAAGCCTCTGTCCTCCGTGCCTGGGCTGGCAAGCCCGAGAACATTCTTGCTGGCCAGCAAGAACTGCTCAAGCGTGCTAAGGTGAGGTTCTATGTTAACAATTATGTTAATAGATAGAAAATACTAATAAACCTCACAGCCATAATATAAAGCCAAATAATAAAGAATTCACACAGCCCTTCCAATCCCAAGCTAAGCAGAGCTTGTGTTATGGGTAATACACAAGTGCCAGAATATTTTTTTTTTATAGAGTATATACAAACAACTCCCATACCAATACATACAATCATACTCGGGAAAACAAAGGATCGAGTCCGCGATTATCGGAAGTAAGGCATTCTGCCGAAAAGCCTAGACCACCGAAGGCTTCCTATTTTTCTTTTAGATTGGAATAATTCTCGATTATGTATTTCTGTATATAAAATAGAGAAAGCTAGATATCTTACTGGTCATTTTTTGTCATCGAAATTGAGAATTGAGGGAATGGTCGTATAGAAAATAAAGTTTCCAGTTCTATATTTATATTTCAATATATCTAGATTCTAATAAAGTGTAAATTTTTTTAAATGCTGGCTACTTCCTGCAAATTCATCTGCTTTTTTAAACAAAACATGTCTAGCCTATGTCTGTCCTCGAAGTATTATCTATTTTCATACTAAATTTCATTTAAGTCCGTACACCCATTTAGTAGTGAAGAGATAATATTAATTTTCTCTTCATCTTACAAGAGCCAACATAATAGACCCATGGAGTAGATATGTCTTAGTTTAAAATTTTTAGTTTTACACTAGAATACATTACTAATTTGTTCTTTTTCTTCCTTCATCATCATCATCACGCCATCGTCTGATCACCAATGGCGGCAACAATGTGGATTTATATCGCAACTGCACACCACGCCCTACACTGATTCTAATTTTAAATTTGTTTTTTTTTTTAATACAATAACCAGGCAAATGGCCTAGCGTCTACAGCCAAATACCAGGCTGGATCTATTCCTTCTCTAGCTGCTGGAAAATCTAACTTTGTTAAAGCGCATGCTTATTAATAATTTTATTATATTATTAAAAGCTATAATTGACAATATCGAATTAAATCTGTGGCCTTTTTTTACAAAAGGATTTTGTTTGATCCATACTTCGTAAAGTTTTATTTTCGCTAACTCAGACAACTTATTTAGCATTAATTAAAATTAAAACGCAGCTCAAAGTTTTCTAAGTTTCTCATAAGTTTTTCGACATATTAGATATTTATTAAGTTTATTTTATAGAAATCTAATTTCAGAAACGTTATTTACTTAATAAGGATTTTCACAAATTTATTCTTGTATTTTTCGGTTATCTTTATGTTCTAGTCAGGCATTTTTTTATAAATTCTATTTTTGAAAATTTATATAATATTCTTTACAATTATAAATGACGCAACAATGCGCTTCAAGAATATGTGTTCATTCTCAAATGAGAATCTATATATTTTTTAAGCTACATGCGATATTTAATTATTTTAAAAAGAAGACTTCCTTCTAACTAAACCTACATCACTAGTACAGATATTCGGCTAGAACATTTTAGTGCCTATAAAATAGTTAATATTATAGTTTATTCACGCGTTTACTGTAGTACTTGTTATCATATTATTAGAATTCATTTTTCATTAAATTAGATATGTATTAACTGCATGCTCAATTCACAATTTGTGATGTGTGTGTGTGAAAATATAATAAATATTATATTTTTTTAATTTTGTTTTTTTATGTTTCCATGTTGTTTCTTTAACTCATCATTATCATCATCATAACCTAATTCCTGTCCAAGTGTGTCGTGTATGTCTCTTTCTAGATTATCAAACGTATTTGTTGTATTCATAAATCCTACCAGTGGTAAGTTAAAAAAGAATCCCGTAATACCTTCCCTTTGGGGCGGTAAGGCCCGTGGTATTTTGTCCGATCTGCCGGTACCACTTAAAAACCCACGAACTGTTTAAAATGGGAGTGAGTATAAATGTAAAATTATTCCTGAATCTAACATTTAGTATATTATTTAAAAAGGGAACTTCGATATGTAGCTTTTTTAGATAAAAAAGCTCAATTAGATAAATTCTCGGATGATGTAGCTACGTTACAGAAACATAATTATGTAGATAGTATATAATAATGACAAATAATAACCCAGGACAAAAGCATACAGCGACATCTAGTCCCTAACGATGCCAAAGCTTGTGTTATGGGTACTAAAGAACTGATTAAAATATTAAATTTTTTAATTATATATGATAATTAAAATCCGTCCAGCTGTTTGGTAACGAGTAACAGGTAATAGACAGATACTTTCTCATTTATATTCATATATTGTCACATGAGAAAAAATACTATTAGCTATTTGTGTAGTACAAAATAATGTAACGGTGAAGCGATCACTGCGCCCCTTAAATTGCGGCAAAATAAAGCAATATGAATGCAATGCTTTATTAGCACTATGCTACAATTAGAGATACTTATTGATAAAAAGTTCAACATTTTATCAAAAGATGTCGCTACGTGTTTGAAATGTAATGTGATGACCAAAAATGTGCTACTTTGTACCAATTGCAATTTCTAATTGACAGGGGTTTGTCTATGTCTAACATAATATAAACTCCAGATTCCAATATTTTATATAATAATGTCGAAGTAGTTACCTAGATATAATGTTTATAAAAGTCCTTTATTTCGGTACTAGCTGACCCGCACAACTTCCTCTTTGTCACACTTCACATTTATCATTATATTTCATCCAGTTTACATAATATCTTCTAAATTATAGCGTATGTGTTATTCAGATGTATAAGCTACATTAGTGTAAAGATCATGAAAATCCGTTCAGTAGTTTTTGCGTGGAAGAGTAATAAACATACATCCAGATCTCTATATCTCTCCATACTCGCAAACTTTCGCGTTTATACTAGTTTTAGTATTTACCTATATCTTCAATATACGCGAGCTAAATTAGAATTAGATAGGTACTATTTTCCACGAATGATAAAACAAATGTTTTATTAAATAGTAATTGTAATTGATTTGTAAACAACTCGTCGGTTTTGTTTTCAACTACCTGTAAAATTATTTTATCTGAATATAGTTTAGTTTTCTCCCCGACATTTCAAACTATAATTGAATAATAACTATTACATAAATGGTATCTATATTTACCGTGATTGTTGAAATACCGGATGTTAGTGAACTTGCCAAATATTTGTGTGCAATTGTTAAATCCTGAAAAAAGTTTAAAACCGTTCATAATACCTGTTATTCATACTTACTCATTCTTATTTGCTTAACTCCCGTATTCTTATGGCTTGCGCAATAACATTTTATTGTTCTAATTATAATTAATAATAATAAGAAAAATTGTGGTTAACAATGTTCGTATATATATAAAACTTGTACACACTGTCTGTTGAATGAAAAATAAATAAATAAACACAAACATATACAAAATATTTACCATTTAAAAAAATAACGAAAAATTGACCAAATTAATTATTACAGTGTTTTATCACTCTTTTGCAAAGAACGGTAGTACAAAACACTAGTTAAAATTAGTGATAAGACATATAAAGATTTTATATGTAAAGATATTAAAATATGTTATAATTTTTAACAGAAATAACTTCAGCTTTGAAGATGTTACTCGAAAAGATTCGATTCCTCTTTCCCCATAAATAAAAACTAAACTAATTACTTGTTGCTCCCGTCAAGACGTCCATTCAAATGATGAAATTTACTGTTTATTAATCGTTTAAGTACAAAGATAAGGTTGTTCTGATCTTTGAACTAAATTATCTCGTTGGCAAACAATCGCCCAGTGAGAAGTGAGGATTAAGGGCATTAAAATGCCGCTGCTACACTAAATAACAACGGAATTCTGGCATGGTATTTTTATAGAGGCTTTAATTTGACACATTTTATTGCACCCGATAATAAATGAATTAGTAGAAATAAATAAAAAGATTTTTTCTTCAAATATATTTTTTATAAAATTTTCCTTTAATATTTATTAGATATTAATATTATAAATGTCAATCTGTGCCTGTCTGTCTGTTACTTTTTACCAAGTGAATGCCTGAGCAAAGTTGAGAGTACATGTAGATATGTAGACCGTACCACGGGGACTGATTTAGGACAATTTTTATTTTAGTTATAACTATCAAGTTTCATTTTTCGATTGTTTTCGTTATAATTTTTCCCCGATTCGAACAAAAATAGATTTACGTCATTATTGTTTTTATTATGAGGCGGGTTTTAACATCATTGCTCACTACTTTAATCCTAATTCCCGCAAACAAATCCACTCCGATCGATCACTCATCCAATTTAAAGGGAGATCGAAATTACGACGGCCTAAGCCGAGGTTGGGGGTGGGAGCTGGCATTCGACGCTGCATAAGTCCTTCCGCGGGTGTATTCGCTCGTGTATATATTGGATCTGTATACGCCTCCTATCGTCCGGTGAAGCTGTAAAGGCCAGCTGCGGCCAACAGCATTAGGGTACTCCAAAAAAAAAACTTTTTCTTTTTTTTTCTTGTTGCAATCAGTATGTTGTTAATCGTCCTGTTTTGTATCTTTTCAGGCCAACGGACAAGCGTCGCATGGGAAATACGTAGCCGGATCTGTCACAGGTTTGGGCGCCGATGCAGGCCTTTTTGTTGCAAATCACGCATACTAAATACATGCACATTAATATCACAGTTATAAAATGCAGTTACGTTGAAAAAATGGACATTGCGTGAAAAAGTATTTTATAGATACCAATTTATAACTGGCTGACAATATTTAGAAAACTACTTTTGTGATAGAACAGAAAAAATAAGTGCATTCTTTTTTTAATTATGGCGCAATTACAATGTGCCTGTATTTATTTGTTACCATATTTTCTACTATAGTTTAGTAGTATTAATGTTATTATAAGTTGTTTCATCAAATGATTGCATTAGCCCACTATAACTGTTGAGATTATAAAAATACTTTAGATTGATGAAAATATATGTACATTTCCTTGATGCATCACATATAAGCACAGATTGTAGTTATTAGCCTATATTATCATAAATATTGCCATACACTCAATTGCAAAAACTACTAAATAAATGAAATTGTGATCCAGTGTTCTAAGTTTTTGAAAAAATGTCACATATAATATTTATTTGTAGTTTTGTGCAAATTTTATTGTTTACTGAGATTGTTATAAACAATATGTAATTATTGTAATAAGTAAGTAGAATCATGTAACTTTTTTAATATCGTTATCATATAGTTGTATAATATATTTTGATACTTGTAAGATTATTATATACTTTATCAAATATATTTAGAGGTTTCATTCAAAACTCTTTTTGATATTACACATTAAGGTTGTTATTAAGATTGCTATAACTTCACACATACACCGTTATAACAAAGAGTTCTCCACATACCTCATGCAACTTTTTACGAAGAGTTCGTAAAAAGAAGAGAAAATACTGATGTATATATACATCATCATGCTTTTAAGGGTTAAAGGCGATAATATTTTTTAATGATAATGGAATGGTTCACTCGCCTTCTCTAACGGTCTGCGCTGGAGTAATAAATAAATAAATATCCCTAGACAATTAATACAACGCCATCTAGTCCCACGGTAAGCAGAGCTTGTGTTATGGGTACTAGACAACTGATATAAATACTTAGATTTTTGTTTTAAAAAACAATATACATATAATATATCCAGACCGATACAATCATACTCATAATAAATTAATTATTCTCCTTATGATGATGATGATGAACTTGTCACAGAATATGTTGCAATATTTACAACATACTCTGTGACAATTTCGTAATAATTCCTCCAGCTGTTATTTTTTTATGTATGACAATGGAATAGTACACCCGCTTGTGCTGACGATTCCAAGAATTTATCACAATGGTTTTCAGGGGGAACCGCGTGAAGGTCAACCTGATATGGTACATTGCTAGCAATAAGATCATAAGTCCACATTACTACAACAGTCCCCTTTCCCCCCTCCAGCTGTTATTGTGTTCAGGCAAACCTTAACACAAACAGATAAACAGTTTTTTTAACATCATGATTTCATAAAGTGTGCGGGAGCCGTTTCAATCGTTTGAAAGAGAGAGAGAGTTAGGGAAACACTTAGAAGTTTTCGGGTAGGTATGTACATCAACACTCGCCTTCACCGCTCGTGTTTCTCTCCCTGCCCAGCGCATTTAGGTAGGAGCCTGCTAATGCATCTTTTGATACACGTTCTATTATCTTACCGCAGTTCTAGACAGGCCAACATCTTTTAAAATATTTTAGAGTCACTTCGCCTCACCGACTTCGTCTTTTAACTTCCAACTCATATAACTTATTGTAGTTCAGCCATATGTCGTAAGTAAATAAAAACTTAAAAACTACGCGCGGATGAAAGCAATCCCTTTATTTCTAATATCGCAGAACATACCTATTTCATAGTATTCATAGGTCAGAGACCTCCTGAACGCTTTAAATATCATCAAAATAAATCTAAATACTCAAGTAATACCGGGAATCGTTTTCCACAAGCGTGTTTCGATTAAAAAACTCATTAACCACGTTTGGATCCGATTTCACATCAACTTTGTACTTATTGAAGCGACTAATAAGTTGAGGGGGAGGGGATTGTTAGTAATGTGGATTGATGACCCTTTGCTAGCAGCGTACCATGTCAGATCCTCGTGAATTTATC